GCTTGTTGTGTTGCCCCCTCCCAAACTGACCTCTGCCTCTAGCCGGGGCACCTCTAAACTCTCCAGAGAATCGAGCCCTTTTGTCCTGCTGCATCTTCTCTCTACCTCTTAGACAGTAGCCCTCAATCCTCCAAGCAATCTCTACTACTAGCTGATAAAAAGTCCTCATCTCAACCTCTCGAGCCATGTTGGCTCTAATACCAGAATGCACCCTGCAACAAACCTCTGCACTCTCTCTACGTCAGTAGGAAGTATCATCAGTGCATGGCGGAAAAACTCAAAAAACCTCGCCTCGTAGTCGGTCACTAATATCTTGACCCTGCTTAAGCAGCTCAAACTGATATCGAAACTCTTCCCTCTCAAAGGGTGGAATATACCTATCCAAGAAAAGCTATGTGAAATGACCCAAAGTAATGGGAGGAGAACCTGCTGGCCTACCAAGAACATAAGACTGTCACCATCTACGGGCCCTAACCTCCAGCTGAAAAGTAGTGAAGTCAACCCTATGAGACTCCAATATCCTCATGTTGTGCAGTATGTCCCTACACCTCTCAATGAAATCTTGGGCATCCTCATGACGCTCACCTCCAAAGATAGGAGGGTGTAGCCTAGTCCATCTGTTCAATAACTTCTATGGATCGCCGTCCGCAAGCGGTCTTGGCTCAGGTACCACTGCGGTAATTTGGTTGAGCCCCATCCGCGGGTAGTGCACCTGGAGTCTTATATACTGCAGCTGCATAACCAGGAGCCTGAGCAGTAGGGGCCTGTGCTCCCCCTCCCGCTTGAGATATGGCTGGGTCTGCTGGAAATAAACCATCCTGGGTCATAGAATCCATGAACTTTAGCATACGGCACATGACCTCCTGGAAGCCCAGTGATGTCATGAAATCTGCCGGGGTAGGCTCAGTTGCGGGCATCTCGCCCTGCTCCTCAATTATAGGATCCCCTGCAAGGTCCGCTGAGGGTGCAACTGGGGCAGCTCTGGGACACCCTCGTCCCCTACCTCGGGTCGGTGCCCTCCCCCGGCCTCTTCCTCGACCTCTAGCAATGGGGGGAGCAGCTCCTTCCGGGTCTGGAACATCTGCCGTGCGCGTCCTCACCATCTGTGAGAGAATAAAAGAAGGAAATTTAGTATACCATCAACAGAACGACAGAAGATGAATAAAAAGTAGGTTCTTAACACCTTATAGCCTCTCGAAGATAAGTACAGACGTCTCTGTACAGATCCGTAAGGCTCTATTAGGTTTGCCCATGACTTGTGAGACCTACATGAACCTAGAGCTTTGATACCATGTTGTCACGACCCAAATTTCATTATAGGTCGTGATGGCGCCCAACATTGTTGTTAGGCAAGCAAACCCTATTCAACTAGTGAGTTCTCATGTATTTTACCATGCAATCCCAACATTTACCAAGCCTTAATTTAAAACAGTCGATAATTAACAAATTCATAATAATAGATATACAACCCAAGAGAAATAGTCTACCAATGTGGGTGCCAGGAACTAGTGTCACAAGTACTAGGGCAACTAGTAGAATGTACCAAAATTCAACTATTTTACTGCCTGAAATAGAATAGACAGTAAATAACAAAAGAAGAAACTCTAGCATGCTGCTGAACGGCTCAGAAGGGGCAGCTCACCGTGAGATCTCGGTCAAGTATCAGGATCACACGCCGGATGGGTAGCTAGATGCACCTACCTCAGATCCTGGACAGTTAAGTACAGAAGCGTAGTATAAGTACATAAACAACATATACCCAGCAAGTATCCAGTTTAACCTCGAAGAAGTAGTGACAAGGGGTCGACTTGACACCTGTTAGGGTCAATTAATAATACAGTTTAAGTGTTATGCTAAGCATGAATAGCATGGATATAATGATAGTTCAAGAAAAAGGAGAAATAAGATATTCTTTCTTAACAACATATCAATTTCAACCATATCATGTAATAAGTTACATTTCAAAGCATTTAAGCAGTGTAGTTCACGGAAAGTTCCACATAAATAACATGCGCACATTGTGCCGAGGTCGTACGACCCGATCCGATATAATAATAAAATGTGCACTGCCAGAGGGTCGAATGGCGTGAACCATAGATGCATCTATTTTCTATCGAGGCGATCCTCCCGATCCACAAATAGAAATTTATTATCAAGTAAGCATACATTGCTCAATTATACTCAATTAATTCATACAAGTTCTCAAGTAAGTGAGTATTACTTTCTTCTTCTCCCCCTGTCGATCTGGGACCAGCCTTGTCTTTTCCTTTGTACTATTTTTAGTTGATAAATAATAAGCTCTGGAAGCGGATAGGACGATGGTAGGGAAGGCTAGCACACATCATTTCTCTAAGAATAAGTGAGTTTCACGACGAGTCCAGCTCGTAGTGACCCTAAAACTGTGTTATGTCGAACTGGGAATGCCCGTCTATATTCATTTACAATTTCTAGCATGTCCTAAGTGATCTTAGTAGCAAGTAAGGATGCAAACATTTGCATGTATAGCATGATACGGGTCCTAAATTACTCGGACAATTAGCATAATAGTAGCTACGCACGGACTTTCGTCACCACATACATACGTAGCCCCCACAGATAGTCACATATATTAATTTAATTCACCTATGTGGTTAATTCTCTCTTACGAAGTTAGAAAGGAGACTCACCTTGCTCCAAAGCTTACTTCTAAATTCAAGAATACGCTCAAACCCTCAAATCGGAGTTGAATGATCCAAAACTATTCAAATGGGATAAGAACTAGTCAATACATGCTCAAGAGTTCATATTCTAACTATTAAAGTAATTTCCCAACCCTAAATGCAAGGTTCCTAAAATTCATCGCCGGACTCACGTGCCCGGATTCGGAAAATTTTCGAAGGAAGTTGTTACCCATAACCTAAGGATCAAGAATATATGATTTTTACTTCATTCCATAACGAATTTCATGGTTAAATCTTGTTTTACCAAAACTCTAGGTTTTACTCTAAACCCATAATTTTTACTAATTTACACGGTGTAATTTACCCCTAAACTATGTATTAAACTCACATTAGGTAGAAATAACTTACCTCACAATGCTAGGCTGAATTCTTTCCTTTTGAAGTTTCCAAATCGCCCAAGAATGGTGTGAAATGTGTCAAAAATGACACATTCCCGTATTAAATGAAGGACACTGCCTTCAGTGATTTCCGCACTTGCGGTTAGGGGACCGCATCTGCGGTCTTGCTTCTGCATGAGATTGCCCGCTTCTGCGGTTTTTGGCCGAGCCAGCTGGGGCTGCATCTGCAGTATTGGGACTGCATCTGCGGTTCTGCTTCTATGGAAGAGGGGCCACATCTGAGGAACCTGGGCTCCTCCCCTTGAGCCGCATCTGCGATGGGTAAGCCGCTTCTGCGGTCTCGCACCTGTGGCTGGCCAACCGCAAGTGCAGTTATGACAGAACTGGAGCTTCAGCTTCCGTTCGGACCTCGATATCACAAACACCCCACTCCAAACCAAATTTTAAGAACTTCAAGATCCTTAGTGAATCAACTTTCACTACTAGGCACCAAAACACTTCCGAGTCATCCAAAATCCGGTCCGGATATACGCCCAAGTCCGAAATCATCTTACAAACCTGTTGGAACCTTAAAATCCTGATTTTGAGGTCGTTTACTCAAAATGTTGACCGAAGTCAAACTTGGCCTTTTAAGCCAACCTTAAGGAACTAAGTGTTCCAGTTCCAACCCAAACTCTTCCAAATCTCAAACCAACCATCTCCGCAAGTCATAAATCAGTAAAAGCAAGTACGGGAAGTCTTATTTAGGGGAACAAGATTCTAGAAAGCAAAATGGCTAATCTGGTCGTTACAAATGTAATGATATTGTTTGGCATTTAAATTATTGTTGTATTGTATATAATTCTCTCATTACTTAAATATCGTGTTCCTTCATAAAAATAATTGCCTAAACCATTATGTGCAACTTTTAACGTGCAATGCACGTTCATAGAAACCAGTATATTAAAAGTGCGAAGGCCCTTAGCGAAATGTCGTTCATATTTTTTACCCTTTTAAAATAGATTTCACATTAAACGAAATAGTTATTTATTTATTTTATTAATATTTATAATTTTAAAATTAATTATAATTTTAATTATTAAATCTTTCCTTATTTAAACTATATATGACTTAAGTCCTACTAGTTGGGACTCAAAATCATTAAAATTTTACTGTTCCAAATAAAATATATCCTAATCGAATTTGAGCCAAAACCCAACACGCAACAATTTCAAAAATTGATACGTTTTTCTCTTTCTAATGTTCCTCAATGTCTACAACTTTGTATATATTAGTTCTCCTTGCACTATCTCCTTATGCACTAAATTATGGACAAAGCCAAAACATTTATCCCAAAAAAAAAAAGGATTTGTAGTTCGAGAAATCAAACCTCCCAAAAAAATAAACTTTTATACAAATCAGAAATATATTTAAAAATTATCAAAAAAAAAAAATTCTGTGTCAACACTTTTAAGTTGAATATATCTACTGAGATGATAGAGAACCTCTATGTTTTTTTTTTATTGGGTTAGTTAAACAGGATTAACAATTATTATTTTCAAGAACTTACACTTCAACTTTTAATTTATATATAACTCAGATATAATTTTTAATATAATAGTTATATGATCTTTTAAAGTTTTGCTCTGATGGTAAGCAACCCTCACTTCCAATCGAGAGGTGGTGGGAAGTTCTTGGAGGGAAGGATGCCGGGGGTCTATTTGGAAACAGTCTCTCTACCCTAGGGTAGGGATAAGGTCTGCGTACACATTATCCTCCCCAGACCCCACTAAGTGGGATTATACTGGGTTGTTGTTGTTGTATCTTTTAAAGTTTTGCAATTATGAAGATTAAATTCACGTGTCAAAATAGGTGTCAAAATTCACGTAACAAAAGACTAGTATTTAATATAGGTGTGTAGGTGTTCCAGTGCATAATGATGTATGATCCTTTGTCCATTTCAGTTATGTAGGTAAATGATTACTTAGTTCTATTCTTGTAATCAACTTCCAAGAAACGGATATGAAAGCCAACAACACTTGAATCAAGAGACTAGAAGAATAACAGATACCAAAAACAGTTTTTGAGTTACGAATTAAGATCCCATTAGACAGCGCTTATGTTTCCTTGACTATGCTACTGAAAAGGTTTTGAATCATACTGATATTGCTACATTTTGTCATTGAAGTTAAACTTTGAACCTCAATTACTGTTAGTCTTGACCTTTAAACTGTTAGGTTTGTACTTTTAAGTTCTGAACAGAGGCGGATCACGAGGACTTTTTATTTGGTTGAAGTTCAAGCGCATGTGAAAATTTATAACTTTCTCTCTCTTTCTAGGCTCTCGGCGCATGTTAACTAACATACGCCACTGTGTTTCGCCATGGGAGGAAGAGGAAGAGGTCGCGGAAGAGGACGAGGAAAAGCAAAGCGACATCCCATCATCGCATTTGGGAGCTCAGTTGGAGCTCGCCTACAAATAGGAATAAACAAGGAACAAGTTACAACGCCAGTTAACCAAATCGAACAATCTGAACTGAGGAAAGAAGGAATCTCCTCTACATCAATAACTGCGAAGAAATTGGATCTGAGTCCTTCACCGTCAACTACACCAGCTCTACTGATGGAAACCAATGAAACAATAATTGAGGTCAATCCAACAATAACTATACCTACTGAAGCAACTATTGGTCCAACAATTGCCAACAGCAAGGGTACAGAACCTCTAAATGAAGCCATGGATGACGTTGGAGCGAAGAAGCCTACTGCATGGGTGAGCTTATTTCAGAAGAACAGATATGCAGAAAAGGTATGGCCCTGACCTATATCCTACCTCAAATTGTTAATGGCTTGCCAGCAATGCAATTAGAGAAAACGGAGGTAAGTAGGGAAACAGAAAAGTGGCGTTGTGCTTTAATTGCTTATTTTATCGGAGAAGTACAGGGATTTAATGCAATAAAGAGATACATTGGTCTACACTGGGCAAAAATAGATGAGCCAGACCTGTTTCTACATGAAGAAGGTTACTATGTCATTAAATTTCAGTCCATTGCAGATAGGGATGAAATTTATTATGCAGGACCTTACTCAATCAACAACAAACCTATCTTCTTAAAGCCATGGACCCCGGATTTTGATTTCAGTGAAACTGAGATTCCTCTTTGGGTTACATTTCCAAAACTGTCGATGAATTGTTGGGGGTAGTAATTCTCTGAGTCGAATAGTAAGTGCTAGTGGCACCCCTATTTTTGCTGATGAGTGCACAAATAAGCATACTAGAATTTCATATACCAGAATGCTTGTTGAAGTAGATGTGACCAGAACTCTGCCTACAGAAATAACTGTGATAGATCCTAATGGGAGGCAATTCCAACAACTGGTAACCAATGATTAGAAGCCAGAATTTTGTGAGAAGTGTCAAGTAGTTGGTCATAAATGCCATCCACCAAGGAGAATTGATAATTGTCAGCTGAGAAAAAGGAAGATTGTCCAACAGTGGAAAAACCAAGGCCCAATCAAGTTGGATGCAACTAAGGTGACGGCAGAAAAGCAGAACATAATCCAAGAGATACATCCTAGGAGTCCTCAGAAACAGAAGGATAAGCAACAGACTTCAGCTGTAACACATGAGTGGAGGAAAAACAAAGTGTGAGAGGAAAGTCTCCAGCTAGTCCTGTACAGATCATCGGAGACAAACCAGTAGAAGCTAATCCTGAGTTTAATATTAGCAATTTTTCTGTGCTATCTGTTGTACAAACTAAAAATGGTTTTGAGGCTTTGCAAAGAGGGAACTGTGATGAGATCAACCTACCTCTATACAAAGGTGGATGACTTAACAACTGAATCATGAATTGGCTGTTTTGGAATGTAAGAGGGGTGAACAAGAGGTACAAGCAAAAGGAATTGAGAAATTACATCAAGAGCAAAGATATAAATTTAGCTGGTATTATTGAAACAAGGGTCAAAGAACATAATGTTTCTAGAGTAATGCATAGCATAGTGGCTAACTGGGGAATACTGAAAAACTACCAGCATGCAGTTAATAGAAGAGTTTGGTTAATTTGGGACACTAATTGGTATGCAGTAAAACTGCTCAAGGAAGATGCTCAAATTATTCACTGACATGTTCAAAGCAAGACAAGGGACTGTCTCCTTACTGTAGTCTATGACTATAATGTCATGGAACAACGAAAAGCTTTATGGGATAGCTTACATGACATTTCACAAAGGGTAACTGTACCATGTACCATGGCTAACTGCTGGAGACTTCAATGCAACTTTGTATCCAGCTAACAGACAAATGGGGAATTCTGTTACTCAAGCTGAAATTCAAGACTTCTCTAACTGTGTCCATGATCTGTTACTAAATGAATTGCCTTGGAAAAGAGAGTACTATGCATGGACTAATAAGCAACAAGGAGATGAGTGGGTATGTAGTAGAATTGATAAATGCTTTAGAAACTGTTAATGTATGATGAAATGGGGACATGTCTTCACAGAATATGATATTCCAAATATCTTTGATCATGCCCCTATGATAATATATCTACACTCAGCTCAGCGGAATGGTAAAGTACCATTAAATTTTTTTAATATGTGGGCAGATCATGGGAATTTCCTAGCTATTGTGTAAAGCATATGGGATCAACCATGCAAAGTGCAAAATGAGGAGCATATGGATGAAGTTAAAATCACTTAAACCATTGCCGAAGAAGATGAATAATGAGGAATTCAAATTCATTAGCAACAAGATTGAGAAGGCTCAACAAGAGTTATCTACCATACAACATCAACTATACACCTCCTACAGATAACCTCTTGGACTTGGAGAAGACCACATTACAAAATTTGGAGAGATGGTTTTTATTAGAGGAAAGTGCTCTTAAGCAAAAATCAAAAGCAACTTGGATACAGTTGGGTGACTCAAATACTAAGTACTTCTCAATAATTATTAAGGAGAGAAACTAGTAGGAAAAACATATATGAGATCAGCTCTCTAGCAGGAAACAGATTGACTGATCCTAAGGCCATTAAGAATGAGATTATAAGCTTCTATAAAGGTCTGATGGATTGGCTCAAACTCTTCCAGCAGGAGAATTCTGAGCAAGGGTCCTAAGCAAACTCATCAGCAGAAGCTAGACCTATGTGCCCCCATTTTTTATCAGGAAATATATGCTGGATTATGCTCTATTGGTGATGATAAGGCACTTGGAGTTAATGGTTATAATGCTTTCTTTTTTAAGAAGGTGCACATAGTCAAAGATAAAGAGATAGATGCAATGAATGAGTTCTTCAACACTGGTAAATTGTTGAAGGTTGTGAGCTGCACTACTATAACTTTAGTCCCTAAAGTAACTAATCTTGCCACTGTAAAGGAATTTTGACCAGTAGCTTGTTGTTCTGTCATCTATAAATTGATCCCAAAGATTCTAGCTTCTAGAATCCAAAAGGTAATTGCAGGTCTCATTTATGGAGCCGATAAGTTGGGATTTTGACTACTTATTAGCACTTTTTTACTTTCGTTTTAGTCCAAAAGTATTTAATTATATTCTCGAAAACTGATAAAATATGTTTAATTGCAGGAGTCTTGGGAAATGAGCCACAAAGATGAAATCCAACTCAAAAAGGAGTGATCCGAACTCTAGGACAAAAATCAGGCACAAAGGCCCAAGTGCGGACCGCAGAATATAAAGGAAAGTCCATCAGGATCCAAGTGTAAAGTGCGGATCGCACAATTATTGTGCAGCCGTAGAAGTTATATCAGAGCAGAAGTTCAGAGAGTTGTCATCTCAAGACTAAAGGATATGCGGACCACACAATTATTGTGCGGTCACAGAAATCAGCCAAGCGGCTGCACTCAGAAATGTGTGGTCCGCAAAAGGCCGTGTGCGGCTGCACTAAGATTTGTGCGGACCACAGAACATGAGACATGCGGTCACATTTCATAATTGTGCGGCCACAGATCCAGCTCCTGTCAAGATTGACGAAAAGTGTGAACCGCACATGGAATTGTGCGGCCGCAGAACCTCTGAAAAGGCAATTTGTCCGAAATTTTCAACTTTGTATAAATAGACTAGTTTCACGAAATTAGATCTAGTTTTGAATATTGGAACTCCTGTAGCGGTTTTTCCTTACTACTTTAGGCAACTTTAGCTTACTTTGGTGACTTAACATTGGATTTTTGTCTTTTAATCTTTGAATATGAGTTTTATGATCTTTTCTTCTCTATTTTCTTCGTTACCTATTATGAGTAGCTAGATTTTTAACTACGGTTGTGACCCAACCCTAGTGTGTAAACATAATGGATGCTTAATTTATGGCTTGTTTATGGTTGGGTGTTTATTATTTAGCCTTGTTCTTGCTTTTAATTGTAGAATTAATGGTTGCAAACATTATTTCATGCCTATTTGACTTGGCCTCTACTTGAAAAAGAGAGACTTAGTCTAGGAAAACTTGGCTAACAAGAATTTGGGATGAACAAGAGATTGATAGTCCCAATTAAAGGGTTGAACCTAGAGATAGTAAAACCCGACTTGAGCATTTTATTAGTTGTTTTGTTCTGTACCCATTTGGACTTGAGAAAGCCAAATTGGGCAATATCACTCTCTTACCGAGAGGTAGTGAGTGGGTACTTGAGTGTTGATAGCTATAATACACCCCGACCAACAAAACAAGCTTTAAAGTCTATAACCTGTTAGGCAAACACCTAGGTGAAGGTCATAGCCCTAGGCCTTTTACACTATTTGAAAAACATTCAAAAATAATATTTCCTAGTTTTGTATTTTTAGAATTGCAATCTTTAGCATAATTTTAGAAGTAAAAACAAACCATATTTGTGGAAGTGCAATCTAGATACTTCACGTGCTTAGTCCAAATATATACTAGTTTATCTCATTCATATAGCTCCCTGTGGAATTCGATCCCGACTCTTAGTTGGGTATTACTATTGTAGCGATCGTTTCATAACCTCGAATAAAGGTGTGACTTGGACGAGATCAAAAGCACAGGCTGGATTTATACTAGTGAGGAGAGTAGCTAACAACATCATTTTAGCTCATGAATTGGTGAAATCCTATACTAGAAATCATATATCTCCAAGATGCATGATTAAAATAGATCTCCAAAAATCTTATGGCTCTGTGGAATGGATCTACCTAAAGCAAGTTCCGAAAGGATTGGAATTTCCATCAAGTTTCATATCATGGATTATGGAATGTGTGCAAACAGTCAATTACACCATCTTGATAAATAGGGAACTACTGAGCCTTTTGATACTGCGGGCTAAAGCAAGGAGATCTTATGTCTCAATTCATGTTTGCCATTGCAATGGAATACTTGAGCAAGAGCTTCAACGTACTTAAAGAAATAATTAATTCAAATTTCATCCTAGACGTGCAAAGCTAGGAATAACTCATTTGACTTTTGCAGATGATGTGCTTCTATTCACAAGAGGTGATATGGTGTCAATCTCTGCTATACAACTATTCGTTTTGGACTTTTCAAATGCATCAGGATTGCAAGCAAACATGGGAAAAAGTTCAGTCTACTTTGGGGGTGTCACACAACATACCAAAGATGACATTTTGAAGCAACAAGGATTTGTGCAGGGAGAATTACCATTTAAGTGCCTGGAGATTTCATTGTCAACTAAAAAGTTTTCCTTTATCTAATGGCAAACTTTAATGGAATAAATCATTGCTAGAATCCCCTCTTGGACAGCAAAAGACTCTCATATGCTGAATGTCACGACCCCAAATACCGGTCGTGATGGCGCCTATCACATAGTAGCAAGTCAATCCAAACCATTAATCACAACGAATTTCTTTTATAAAACCATTTTCTAACACGGATTTAAATCTCAATTTCCATAAGAAATGTATAAAAAGACAAAATTATGCGAAAAATCAATAAAACATTAAATCAACACAGCCTAAACATCTGGTGTCACGAATATAGAGCCTCTAAATATACAAATCCGACTGCCTAATATATAACAAGTCTAAAATGCAGAAAAGAACAAGATAGGAAGGAGGAAAGCAAGGCTGCAGACGCCATGAAGCTACCTTGCAGTGTCTGGCAAACTCTGAAAGTGTTAAGGACCCTCACTCTACCGCTCGGGCACCTAGATCTGCACACAAGGTGCAGGAAGTAACGTGAGTACGCCAACTAAGTAAGTAACTAAAGTAAATAAGGTCTAAAAGCAGTGATGAGCAATTAAAATCATATAAAGGAATAACAACAGGATAGTATATCAAACTCTACAGTTTAAAAACCAGCTTTGTCATAAAAACTTTAGTTTCAATTGGAATACTTGAAATCAGTTACTTAGCAATTTTCAACAGAGGCTTATTTTAAAAGAAGAGTGAAATCAGTTAAAATATCATAAATGGGCCCCTCGGGCAAGGTATCACTCATAATATGGCATCTCGGTAGCCTCTAAGTCACTCGTGACTCAGCTCTCCTCACTCAGTACTCACTCTCAGCACACGGGCTCAATAATATCTCATAATAGTAATAATCATAGTAACCACTGCGGCGTGCAGCCCGATCCATAGTGTATAGTCGACTACGCTCAATGGGGGTGTACATACTTCGGAGGGGCTCCTACAGCCCAAGCGTCATATCGTTACGGCGCGCAGCCCGATCCAATATATATATCGCTGCGGCGTGCAGCCCGGTCCATATAAATATTGTTGCAGTGTGCAACTCGATCCATAATATATACATATAATATTGCCGCGGAGCGCAACCCGATCCATAATATTTATAGTCCTCACCATTAGGTCCTCAACCTCTCTCAGTCATTAGCCTCACAGCCACTCAGGCGTAACAGTAGAAATCAGGGAACTCAATTCGAAAAGTCCTCACATTAAGAAGTAGAGTGGTAAAACCAGTTTTAAATAATAAACAGGTAAAACATGACTAAGGATATGCTTTTAATCAAATAGAGTAAGGAAAAACAGTAAAAATGCCCCTAAGGGTCTCAACAGGTCGGCACGAGGCCCACAACCCATAATACAATATAAATGTCTACAACATGAGATATCATCAAATTTCTAATCAAGTACGCGGCTTAATAGTCGCTACGGGATGGACCAAATCACAATCCCTACCGGTGCATTCCCACACGCTCGTCACCTAGCATGTACGTCACCGTATTTATCAAAACAATTCGAAATACCGGGTTTTGTACCCTCAGTTCCAGATCTACAATGGTTACTTACCTCAAACCAGGGTGAATTACTACTCCGCGATGCCTTTGCCTCTCGCCTCGGCCTCAACTCGCGCCGAATCTACCCAAAATCAGAATCATAACATTAGAATATGCTAAAGGATCGAAGCCCAAGCGAAAATAATCAAATTACCAAAATCCCGAAATTGGCCAAACCCGACCCCCGAGCCCACGTCTCGAAATTCGATAAAAATCACATCAACGGAATCTTTATCCTCCCACGAGTTCATACATACCAAGAGTACCAAAATCCGACCATAAATGGTCCCTCAAATACTCAAGTCTAGATCTCCAATATCAAGCCCTAATTTCCCCAATTTTAACCCTTAATAAAACTAATACCATGATTAACTAATGGAAAAATGATCATAAACTCAAGTAATGAAGCTTAGGGAACCTACCCAACTGATTCCCTTCGATTCTCTCTTGATTTCACTGCCCTAGCTCGCTTCCCGACTTCAAAAGATGAAGAACTTAGCAAAATTTCGCAAAGGGAACATTATATAACTTCTGGCCCAGGATTTATTTTGCACCTGCGGTCCAAATCTCGCACCTGCTCAACCGCTTCTGCAGTACCACGCGCCGCATTAGCGGTTTCCACTTACTCGACCAATTTCCGCATCTGCGGTTAAAATATCGCACCTGCGCCATCGCAGGTGTGCCTCCTCGACCGCTTCTGCGGTTTCAGCTAACCTTCAACTCGGCCGCATCTGCGGCTCCCTTTTAGCTTCTGCGAGACCGCACCTGTGGTCCCCTATCCGCAGGTGTGGTTATGACAACAACTCCAACTCTTCAGCTGCCAAACAAAATTTCCAAACTTTCCGCCAACCATCCGAATTCACCCCGAGGCCCCCGGGACTTCAACCAAAATCACAAACACATCATATACTACTACTCAAACTTATACAAATCTTCAAAACACCTCAAACGATATCGAATCAACCAAAACACATCGGATTCAAGCCTAAGTTTTCAAAATCTTCTGAATTACGCTTTTGATCAAAAAGTATACCAAACCACGTCCAAATGACCTGAAATTTTGCACACACATCACAAATGATACAACGGGCCTACTCAAATTTCCATAATTGCATTCCGACCCCTATATCAAAATCTCACCTATCAACCGGAAAACGCCAAAATTTGAATTTCGCCAATTCAACCTAAACCTTCCACGGACCTCCAAAATACATTCCGATCACGCTCCTAAGTCCTAAATCACCTAATGGATCTAACCAAATCATAAAAATTCCAATCTGAAATCATATACTAACAAGTCAAAACTTGGTCAAACCTTTCATATTTTAAGCTTCAAATTGAGAGTTGTTCTTCCAAATCCATTCTGATTACCCTGAAAACCAAAACCGATGATTTACATAAGTCATAATACATCACACGGGGCTAGTCATACCCGAGAACTGGCGAGCGAAGTGCAAAAGCTCAAAGCGACCGGTCGGGTCGTTACATCCTCCCCCACTTAAACATACGTCTGTCCTCGAACGTGCCTAGAGTTGTTCCGAAAACCATCAAATTGTTGTGTAACCTTACCATGCACATACCCAGGGGTGATCCCATGCCACCCTATCTCATATATGTCCGATAACATAATGTAACTAAAATTTCGCAATCCAACCTAGCCCATAAATCTTAGAACCACATTTCCACTTCTGAAATCATCAACAAGATCAGAATCTCACAACTATACTCTGAATAAGCCCGAACAAGCTGTAACAGACTATACCTGCAGCCTCCAATATAATTACATGATATACCACATAGCTCAAACTCTCGTAGCGACAACTTCTGATCACAGCAGTTTCTCAGAACAACCGAATATCAATAATAAACCTCTTAACAAATGAAGTCTCATTCCAACACTTTTGTATACTGCCAATGACGAATAAAATACGTGGAAAGTCATACTCCTCAGATCAACCATTCGTGAAACCACTTCTCCTTTGGCAAGGA